AAGACCTCTGATCTGTACTCTTTTGTCGAAACTCGTTGAATTAGGAAGCCTTATCTATCGAACTAGTATGACAGGAGAAATATATTTATACTATCGTAGTTCGAAGAAAGTTGGGCTTCGTCGAGTATCACATCATATATTTTTAAATAACTTTTGGATTTCAATACTAGCTGATGGTGTATTTTGATTATATAGTTGCGAAATAGTACATGTTAGGAAATGAAGAACACTTTTAAATTTTTTGACCTGGTAACTGCATTGTAATATAATGCATGCATTATTGATATCTAATAAAACATGAAATCATGAAACAAAATGCTATCATGACTTTCTTTGTTGAAAATGATTGTCATGAGAAATGTGAACAGTTTTGTTCTTTTAGACCTTATCTTCATTAAGCAAGTGAGTATCGATAGTCTTCATCTTCATCGGTTGATTCAACAAAATCATCAATCCTATCGCTATCATCAAGTAAGTTCAAATAAGAGCCAGATGGTTGATTGATTGTAGGTCCATTGTAATATCGTTGGTATGATAGAAACCAGATGGCAGCTGCTCGATGTTAACAAACTCCTACCTTTCTATCGCCACCTGGACAGTCGCAACAACTATTAAGAATATCTTGTGTAGAAAATGAAATGTAAGTATAATAGGTTTTTGTGTTGCTATGACGAGATTTAAAACGTATCCGAATAAGTTGAGGATCGTTAACACATATTTGTAAAGGAAAATCAGCACGATTATCTAAATGAGTAGTTGAACAGTGTTCTTCACAATAACTGCGAGCTTGTTTTAACTGAAACACCCCTAAAAAGTGATTAAAACGAAATTGATTCAAAGATTTATTGATGAAAATGAATAGAGTTTTTTAAAATAAATTAGTATATTCAAGTAGCACAGATAAACCAGTACAAAGTCTGTATGCTATTGAATAATAATAATCATTGATTAATGTAGTCGTTTAAAAAGCAGTTTAGTAAAGAGAAACTACTTTTTTTATCAAACCTTTTTATGACAAATTTTACTAAGAACGAGTTTGTAAGAATATTACTTTGTATTTATCTCCATAAAAAAACTAAATTAAAAAAATTCTCAGTAGAAAATAAAAATATCATATTCTCATTAACTGAGTCTTCTACATATAGATGCTGCTTTTAGTTTTCACAACTAAGAGCAACCATATTTCTTAGCGGTAAATATGTTTTCAGATAGGTCAGAATTACAAATTGACATCTGTTTATCATAAATACTATGTTACTATACATACCAACTGTTATTGTTCGAATTTGATCTATACTTAGTACTGGAAAATTAACAAGTTGTGAAGCATCACCATCTACCCAACGAAGAATTTCATCATTAATACGCACACGAAGTAAATTTGGTTCATGAAGATTTTCTAACATCTTAGTAACAATTATATCATCATTCATAAATGAAGAAATAGCTGATGAACGATATGCGTTAACAAGCGCACAGGCAATTCGTAAATAATCACGTACTTGAGGAATTGTTGAATTCTGAATAGTTTGGTTTAGCCATTTGAAGTGTTTTATTCTGGCATGTGCAGATTCAACCACCCATCGAATCTTACTTATAAAACGGGATCGATTTGCCTCTAATGCTTCAAAACGATGTCGGCCATTTAAAAAGTCGTGCATGCATACATCAAGACCTAAGGCTCGCATTAATCCGACACTGTCTCTAAATCCACGGTCCACCACTATTATATAATGATCATGAATCCAATTTAAAATTCCACTTTTATTTTTTATTAATGTCTTTTTGCATTGCTGCATCATTGTTTGAACTATCTGATAAATAAGGTCCATATGCTTCTAGTATGTAACCTGTTGTAGTAGTAATCAACATAGGTTTCACTAAAGATCTATGTTTGTGTAAATTGTATGTATGACGTTGAAATCCGTTATTCCGACTTTTCTAAATATATAACAAATATTTCATCAACTACAAAAATCAATATTTTCGTCAAACTTAACGATGAATCGAATTTATACATCAAGTACAGCGTTAAAATAATATTTTAAAAGTAATTCAACTCTGGTATTTTTTACGCTTGTTTGATTTTTTGTGTATTTGAAAAAGAAATAGTCACTGGTCTTCAATAAAAAATCTCCTAATAGTAGTTTTTAAAAGTAATGTAAAAGGATGAAGTTTACAGTGAATAAGCGTTAGTTACGAATTTTAATATGAATATTAGGTCTTCAATAAGTATAAGCATGAAAAGTGTATTTCAAAAGAAACTTTGTTTAGTATCGTATATCGAATCTTTTCGACTTGCTAAACTATATATAATACTTTATGATTGTCCTTTAGAATGAATTACAGTGATAGCATATTTAGTTCAACAAGATTCATACTATTGCTGGTATTTTAATGTTATTTCTATATCAGATATACCTTGTAAAATGCCCATTATGTTATTCAAGAATTATCGTATTAATACTGATTATAGCAAAGAGACAAATAATGAGTATCAACAACTGTCGTATTTTTGATTGAGTTGTTGAAATATAAGCTATTAAATAATGACTATTTTACAAACCTGAAGGTATGAATAAGTACCATCGGCAACGAGTACAACTGTATTCATATCTTCCGATAATAATCTAGTAGCTAATGGAGAAGAATAAGTGTTAATAACATCTTGACGAGAAATGCTTTGAAATCCAAGATATTGTGGAACAAATTCTGATGATAATGCTTCGCGAACAGTAGATAAAATTCTTGAAACCGCCTTAGGATTTGAAAACTTAAACATTGTTGTTAAAACTTTATTGCTAAGTTCTAATCTAAGTTTCGTCAGAAAGAGTCCTAAAGCATTGCGGATGGATCGATTAAAAGAATTTTGCATGCTGGAATTGGAGAGTTTTTCACTCAAATGATTAAAATGGTCTTTTGAAATTCCAGTTAAGTTGTAACAATCAATATCTGACATGTAAAATGGAATACTGAAATCAAAGAGACTAAGTGAATTACAATGATCACGAAATTTGCTAAACCATATTAGTATATCACTGGAAGAAAACGACGATTTAACTGTCTTATTTGGTCGAATTTGATTTAATGCATCAATATGCAAACGTCCATTTACAATATGTTCTTCACAGCACCGGCTGCCTTTCTCGATGAAAATGTTACTTTTGATGAATAAAAAATCTCGATCTAATTCTGAAACTGTACATAATCCTGACTTCAAAACTTTTCGACAAATACAGCATTCCCTAAAACACAAATACATTCTGCATATATTATTTGTTTCTTTCAAAACATACCCATGTGATGAAACGGCAACGTTTAAAGGCAAAAGTACCGTATTTGTATCAATTGGTTCATCTGTTGATGTTTCCATTGCTGATTCAAAATTTTCATTATCATTCTGAAAAGAAAGAAATATATGATGTCTAAGACATTCTTAGAAAATTTTACTTTGTGATCATGATCGATTATATTTTCATTTGATTCATCTTCAAGGTGATTCAAAACGTTCACAAATTCAGAATTAGTACGCCATTTTAAAAAAATCATACGACAAGAATTACATATATAACCTGATGCTGGTAGACATATGTTTCTTCGTGCAGAAACAAAAAGTCGCTTGCAATGCCATGAAATGGACGACGATTGTTCGAATCAATACGACTATCACAACAAACGCATTCGATGACCATATTTGTATAAATGAAATATGGTTAGATAAATGAAAAATATTTTTTTTCTATTTCTCGTTCTCTCTCGCTACAGAACGAAAATATTCACACGTGTCGACCATCTGTTCAAAAATATCACGTGAACAACTGTTTCCACCAACCTCTCCTCCTATCTTGAATCATCGAAAACTAAGCTTCGAAATATTACGTGGTCTGAAATAGTGCTACTGATGAGCACATTCTCATGATGCTATTATAACACCTTTAGTCTTTCCAAACACTAGGTTCATAGCCATCTCTATATATAAATTCGACCATCGATTTGCCATCTTTCACATAAATATAGTAAAACCACCTAACAGATAATTCCAACTGGGTCATAGTAACTATGCAATCAACTAAAAAAATCACCAACCGATCATTAATCTTATAATCATAATGTTAGTGTACAAACACGTATGCATATAAGATACACATCTTTTCGCCATTGCTCTAGCACTCATATTATATTTTCTAGGTACATCAGACTTCCTAATTCAACGAGTTTCGACAAAAGAGTACAGATCAGAGGTCTC